TACCTCTATTTCAAAATTCAACGCTTCCATTCACTCCATATTCCGAGTTCTCTATTCCATCGACGGTTCCAGTCTACAAAATTTCTATTTTAAGCACTTCTGCGATATAGAACACTCTCCAATTCAACATACTCACGTATTGGAAGTATAATTTGTTGATGCTTCTTTGTACCTCTATTTCAAACTTCATTCCTTTCTTTCACCTAGAATTGCGAGTACTCTACTTCCTAACTACTCGTACTAACGTACTTATCGTACAAGTCTTCGAAATTCCTATTTAGAGTATTCCTGTAGAATCGAAGACTCTCCTATTCAACATTCTGACGTATTGTAAGTATAATTTGTTAACGCTTCCTTACACCTCAATTTTCACTCAAAATTCAATCTTTTCATTCACTCAAAACTGCGAGTACTCCACATCTTCGACCAAACGAATCTCCAAAACTCCTCCATAATACGAGATAGAAGAGCCTACGAATCAATCGTCCCCATCAGTAAGAAGAATGACTTTTTACTGGTACTTTATACCCCTGTTTCAAAATCCATTCTTTTCTTTAACTCAATATTCCGGAATTTCCACATCTTCCACCGTACAATTCTTCAAAATTCGTATTCAAAACGCTTCCGTGAAATGGAGTCTCAGTTCAACATTCTGACGTCTGAGATAGTATAGCTATTGCAAATTCTACCTTATACGTCCAACATTACAACAACATTCATTCCTCTCATTTCACTCAAAAGCCTGAATACTCCACATCTTCTACCGTACAGCCTTCGAGGTTACTAACTGGAAGGCTTCTGTCCGAATTGAAGAGTCTCCAATCACCCCTCTAATATTTACACTCGTTACTGCTCTTCGTTTCACCCTTCTACAAGCAGCAACTCGAGATCACTCATTTCCTCAAGATTCTTGTCTACTCTTCGCTCTCATGTTTTTTTTTGAGTGCTGACCTTTACAGGGTATCCGGCTATCCAGGTATATATTACTACCTTTAGTTTCGAATATCTTCAGCGAAAAGTTAACTTGAACCTGGCGTAATCGAATGCAGTATGGGCAAGTCCACGTATCGCATGTTTCAGATAGAGAATATTCTCCGATTCAGCCTGTGTCCTTCGGCCACTATTAGTGGTGTGCTCCACACAATTTTTCCATTAGGCCATTTTCACCGTTCAACTGAGAAAGATTTTTCCTTCATCCCTCTTCACGTTTCTAGTGGAGTACAACACACACTGCAGAAATCCGGACCTTGCAAAACGCATTTAGTCGTTTTGCCGATTACCACATTCCTGGTTAGCCATAGTCGTCCTTTTCTACTGCTGTTATCGGTACTGTTATCGGCTGGAAATAGTTCGGGTATAACTCACATCCGAAATAGAAAATTTCTCACACTTTAGCTTTGCCTGCCCTCATCACGGTTTGAACTCCTTGCTTCACTGTTAGAAAGGTGAAAATTTTGCTTACGTTTCCCCTTTTCTTGAAGTGGAGCGTTTTCCAACCTTGACTGCGTCTGTGTATGTTTTTGAAGGGTTTCGATAGGCTCCTCGTAGTGTGAATAATTTACTACAGTTCCGTTATGTTAAGATGTCTCACAGACCTGGCAGTGAACGCGAAACTTGTGTTCCTCTGTTACTGATCGATTTGGTTATATTGAGAGCTTGTCCAGGTCAATTAAGCTCCTCAAGAAGTACTGCTTTGTCTCCAAACAGAAGAGAAGTTCTACAATGTTCACCTTGGTGGTTGAAGGAACAATTCACGACAAAAATGGTTTCTGAGTCCCCCCCCCCCTAGAAATACACAGTGGCCCCTAAGGGCAACAGAAAGTACGTTGTCGAGTTCCAAAATCCCACAGCTAGGGCATAGTGGAAGCCCCCTTACCGGATCGCCCGGATTTCCCGGCCCTCGGTCGATGTCAAGTCAGGCGAGTGCCCAGGCGATACAGATTGCAATATTCATCCTCTGACCTACACACGATCAGCTGATCGCCGAGTGATGAGGCAATGTTCTCCTAGCATTCTTTTATTCTCTGTTAATCTTTTGCTGCTGCAATCCTTATTCTAATTTTCGCAATCCTTATTCTAATTTTCTACCTCGAGAGGCTGAAAACATTTTCCGAGGGCTATTTTTCCTGTTACTGGGGTTTTTTGTGAACTCATGCTCATGAGTGAATGAATTTCTGCTTACCGTAGTCAGCTGTTCGCACCAGGATTCACGCGTACGCAATGACACACATTGTATAGCTGACCAAACGCCCCATTCTTCTTCATTTTTCTGGTCTCATTTTCGTCCAGCCCCCTTTTTTCAGATTTTTTGAAACCTTTTCTCACTTTGGAAACACAGGCAGATTCTTCGCCTTCATCGCACTATTTTTCATCTTATCTTCCATTTTTCGTCATAATTTGGATTAGCCAAAACTACTGGGAATCGTGCCTTTGAACCGTGGCTATTTGGTTAACGTAGCAGAGAAACGCAGGGGTTTGTAAGACAGGAAGCGCCCTATGAGCCAAAAATCTGTAAGGGCTATCACAAATGCATCGTCGATGTGTCTTCAAACCTTTAATGTCTTGAACTGTTTAGGAAAGTGAAGGTCAATGGGGGATGAGCTGTAAACCACACAAACTTGGTTGGCCAAACTACTTACTATTATACGTATCTCAGGAGGTGGAGGCTTTGTCATTGCCCTTACACGTATTCAAACTGAGGAAAAATGTAGCTGTTGCGGAGCACGCGCTGGCAAAGAGCAGTCGCTCGCAAGGAGTAGCATCGGCACCTCATCACGAGTCCCTCGTTATGCGACCTCCTGACTGCCCGAATAATATTGAAACTTATTCTGCGAAACAAGGGCCCATCCTGTTGGCCACAATTAGGAAAATGTAAGTTGATCGCAGTGATTTAAAGAATTTTGAAAATTTAATGAATTAACATTGCAATTCAATGATTGTGATAACGCGCGTTCGATCATTGCTGAGGCAAATCCATGCCTTGCAACCATTGCGTGGACAGTGAGCGAGGGCTAAGGAAGAAGCCTTGAAAGGGTTCACGGTGGTAGAGGAGTTGAAGTCAGAAACGAAAAAAGAGAAAGAGTTCTTGACATCGCCACAGCCCACGATCTGGCAGTCCGCAGCATATTCTCGCGAAAAGAAAACTCAGAAGATATCCCACAGCAGTCAAGGGAAAGAAAGTGAAAAAGATCATGGACTCGTGAAGAGCCATCCCCTCAAAATCTTAAAGGACACAAAAGTGCTGCCTGGCGAAGGTCCGATTCCATAGCCTAGCAGGCATAGCCATCGATCTTACCAAGAAATTGAGGGAAAGACAAAACGGAGATCCTGTGGAAGCTACACCGAACCCAAAAAGAATACCACAAACAGAAAATACTGGAAACTGGTCTCCCCTACTCCAAAAGACCGATCTTAAGACCTAGAACAACATTGTGAATGCCACTCTACAGTGTGCAAGGAACACTGGGGGAGATGAAGGTGCAGTTCGAGGAGACAATGGTGCGTGTTTCTGGATCCGTAAGAAAGGGGCCAATAAGCGTCGGCAGAACAAGTAAGCTCCAGAAGAACTAGCTGCCTACAGAACTTCCAGAAGGCTTGTCGAGGCTGCCGTAGCGAAAGCAAAGAATACGGAAATGGATGCTTTGTGCGAGAAACTCGCTATGAGAAAAGAAGTCCGCCTTCTGCTTGACTGAAGCACGGCACCAGGCTACTCAGGCCATCGGGGTAGCGAGGTCCATCAATAACAAAGGTGGGATCCTGAGGAAGCCTGTTGAGGTCAGGCGTAGATGGAGCGAATACTTCGACAGACTCCTCAACGACGAATTTCACCATGTGAACAGCCCTAAAATAGAGGCGACGTTTGGTCTCATCGCACTCTGCATAGAGGGTAAGGTGCGTAGAGCAATTCGGCTTCGTGCCAGAGAAGTCCACAACGGATGCCATTTCCAAAGCTAGACAAGTGATGGAGAAGTATCGAGAAAGGCGTAGACCCTGCTACCTAGCCTTTCTCAATCTGGAGAAGGCATTAGACCGTCTTCCGATACCTGAGAAGTGGCCTAGCCGCTCATAGTAGCGTTGGCCAGGCTGTAGAATCCCCCAATAAACTCGCGACATGGACAGATCAGTGGAGGGAGTCCACTGGTATCCTCTGCGATCGACGGTGCTCCAGGACGAAGAAAAGGAGGACAGGACAGGACAATGGCGAAGCCCACGGTGATCTACGGCAGCGAGTGTTGGCCCGCCAGTATGAACCATGAAAACAGCTTCACTTTGCTGGGGTTAGGATGCTCGAATGGGAATGTAGTTGGACGCACAGGCCAACTGGTCCGGATTACAAGCAGATGTCAAGGTGGCTATACAAACAGCCAGTCCAGCTGAAGACGCGAGAGCAGCGTCTATGATGGCTCGGGCATGTACAGAAAAGAACACGAATTATCCTATAAGGGAGGTTATGGATTTCGAGGCTCAGAGTGCCGACCACGAGAAGACCCAAAGAAGAGGTGGTGGAAGTAATCAGGAAGGACCTCGCCGAAGCTAAGGTATTGGCACAAGATGCCGAAGCCGTAGATAGAAAGAAGTGGGGAATGACGAGTCGGTTGACGAGAAAAACATAGTTGCGCGCTGTGAAAGGGATTTGTAGGTGGTTCTCGATCTTTAGAACTATGGCAGACGCAGACCATGTGGAAAAATGATGGTACTGCCCTGTTCACCAAAGGTTAGGGACAGTTCATAACAGCGAACGGGGCTGCTACACAATGACTGATTATTATGACAATTTTGGTTAGTAATATACAAAACAACGGAACAATGGTTTTCAGAGAAAGGTAATTGAATAATACATATCATGTGGGGTTTGCACCTGATTTCAGTACTACGGGAAAGGCGTTATACCAGATTTCAGTACTGATATATCGCCTTTCCTGAAGTAAAAACTACCATGTTATAGTGTAGTGCAGCACTGAAATCTCAAATTGCAATTCCATCAGGATTGGCGAGCTGCTTAAGATGGAGGGGTTTGCGCGTGATCCTTTTCTAGAGTCATGGCACTCTTAAAAACATGAGAAGCCACAATCATTCCGAAAGTTATTTGATTGGCAGACAGTGGATTTAGAGTGAGGTCAGAGGAGTTCCACGAAGAACACGGAATTCGCGTGGGACTCTTTCACTCTATGAAAGTACTGAACTATGCAGAAAAAAATGGTCAAAACCGATTTCTAAAAAAATAGCAGGTAACTGAAATAACGGGTTGGCACGTGATCTTCCGACATCAATATTATGTGATTTTGGAACCAATGGTAACAATATTGTGGCACGAGAAGATAGCTTTCTCAATGAATACAGTCAGTTTTTTGAGGTAACGGAAGCGGCAAAGATCGGTCCCTCGAAGCGAAAATTGTGCAGTTGTTGCGGTGGATGAAGCTAGCCTTCAAAGCTTGGGCTTCACCAACGTGAAAACTATCTCGTTAAGTAATAGCCTTCAGATGATTGGATACCTACAAAAGCCTTCAGGTAATTGGACACTCACAAAAAAATGAAATTTCTCGTGATTCTTGTACTTTGATGACGCGATTACTCGTGTGTGAATTGAGGTACGATAATCGAGTTTTCGCGAATAAAGGGGCACATATTCCTCACCGCGGCATCTATTTTACAGTGATCACGGTTTGAACTGCAATGTAGAAAACACGGAATGACATCTGAATGTTGGTGCGGTCTGCGAGGATATTCAGGAACGGATCACTCTGGCACAAACAAGAACAATACCAATTTTATACAAATGAAGTGTGATTACGACAATATAGCAAAAAGCAACACAATGATGTAAACCCGAGCTAAAGCGGCATGATACTGAGAAAAAAGATTTCAAGCAATGAGTTATACCCTTTCAGAATGACGCAAGTATCAGCGCTTGTGAGGTGACGAGCCAGTTAGAAAATTCTGCGATATAGTATCAGCTGTTGGGAAGCCAGTACCGCATACCTGAAAACAAATACAGAAGATTTCGTGGTCTAGTTAGGGCTTAAAAGTAATGAGATTCAGTTTACATTTGTTGAACTTACGAAAATTCCCCCCTTGGTAACACTCCGATCCATCACAGTGTATTATACATCCAGTAAATGGTTCGAAGCCCCTCAAAATTTGTTAGCTGACATTTCAAATGACGCAATCGAATTATATATTGCATTCGCAGCTGCCGACAGGAAATTAAGAAACTCGAACTGACTCCAATGTGCCTGATCCCATCCTCATGGCATAACGATGCAGCGATACATTATGAGACTCACATCACAGTGTGAGCCCTGAACATTATCTTACTCGCAAACTTGTCAAGCTGCGTCCTTCAAAAGAATTACCATTTCCAGACGGATAAATGAAGAAGGCCTTTAAAAGGAACCATCGACAGGCCTACTAAATTCTTCATACAGCCATTGGAACAGGTAAACTTCTTACCGAACTAGTCGAAGCCCATAAAAATGAAGAATTATGTGAATAATGTTAGCAATTAAAAGCCTAGTTTTCCAGAAGATTCGCAAATTTTGAACTCGAAATGCAGCATCTGCATCTAGCTTTGTGGTATGCGCAGTCAACCTAATATCGCAAAAGTTGGAACAATTCATCGCGCCCCTGAACCCTCGAAGATCGAAACGACGGCACTGCCTCTCGACTCATCCGGCATTCTTACATTAGCATTTACAGTGTTCAAAAATCAAGTGAGTCACTTATCCCACGTTTTTCAGCACATTTCATGCCTCACTCGGTGCCGATTTGGACCAACTGCCTTCCCAATCTTCATTTTCCCTACTGATCGTGAAAACTCATTTTCTACCCACACTGCGATTGGAGTGGCTTTCGCCCATACCCTGGGTGCTGTTCTTGCTGTAGAACTACTCGTACGTTATCTTCCCATTTGCGCAAGCTCTCAATTGGCTTCCTCGGAATGGTATCACGGTCAGACATCATAGTGAGCGCCGTGAAAAACGTTTGTATGCATCGTTTTTCTACTTAACAACTCTGTGTACTGCATCATACCAAATCCACACTTCATTATCTCCACCAATTCGTCGCCAGGCAATAACTTGTCATCCTTTAATGTTTAGAGGGAGCACATGAACGATTCACATTAGTCCTTCACCACTGCAGTAGGTTAAAACTTCTCTCTAATTTCTCCTTTCAGCGAAGAAGGTGTTGCAGACTGCTAGGTCGTGGGCCGCAGCAAAGTCAAGAACCCTCTTCCCTTCCCGTTCATGACTTCCAATTCTTTGCAAAAACAAATCCTTTCTATGCACCATCGCTCACCTTCAACGTGGCCATTGTGATCACCCGCTTGTGAGATAGCCCCCCTGCGAAACTGATCTGATGGCCTCGTCAAGGCTGAGATGAAATTCATCCTTCTCGTAGCTGGGGCAGCAGGTTTGGAGTGCAAACACGGAAGTTATTGTGCGGTACCCCTCTTCCGTGTCTCTCCTCCTCACATTCATGATACGATTGCTAATTATGCTGGAAGCGGTAAGCGACAGATCCCCTGGTAGACTCTGTAGCTGCAACGGCCACGCCATTTCGTTAGGTGTCTTCTAAATTGTACATAGAACAGCCTGATACCTTCTCCTGATTCTCTGACGTTGCTCATTTCTAGCTTGTGTCCTGGAGTCATCGTACATGAATTTTTGCGCCTCATCAGGTCAGTAACATCTGGGGGTCCTAAGCTTTAGCTTTATACCGGCATCCCCCTGTAACTTTATTTATTTTTATTTATTTATTTTTGGACGCAGCTAAACTACGTGGTGTTGTACAATGCAACGAAAAAGAAAAACGAACTCCACTTTGCCGATGAAAGCAACGGTATAATAAAGAGAGACAACATTAAAAGTATAAGCGACATTATGAAAACACTACTGTGAAATCAGTCTACACGATCAATCATTTGAATAACGATCATATGTATTAAGAAACCTCCGCACTGACCAACTTTATTGCTTTATTTCTGAAAGACCCGAGGGAACAGCGTAGCGTATTCTCGTCAAAAATTTTGTTCAAGATCGGTAGAACTCTGACCGCAAAAAACTTGGCTCTGACCTGTGTTTTTACTACAGAAGACTTTATTTCGATAGCGCTGCCCCTTGTTCTCAATGTGGCTAAAGTGAAAAAATCTGACGATTCCAGTGCTACACTTCCTGTTAAAATTTTTAAGCCATAACAAGACCATTAACCAGTCTCCTACTTGCTAGAGAAGGTAATCCAATCGGACTCTTTCGTTTCTACTAGGCAAGGCTTCATGAAACAACTTGCAGCAGCGAAGAGCGAGTTCACGTGCAAATTGCTCTGCACACTTTCTAACGAATCTACATCCTTCTTCTTATATGGAGAGAACACTGTGGTACCGGATTTCACGATAGGTCTTACGTAGGCTTTGTAGACTTTTAGAAATACGGTGAAGGTTCATGGTTCGCAAGGCCTCGAACAGGTTGTATATCCTGTTGTTTGCCTTTGACACCACAGATTTATAGTGCATGTCAAACGCAAGGTTGTTCGAAAAGGTAAACCCGAGATCCTTTATGTGATCCAGTGTATCTAACATTACAGTACCTATTTTATTTTGAATATTAGTTTTATTGCCGATTGTCAACACCTTTGTTTTATCGGGAGCTAGCGGTAGTTCCCATTGTTTTGATCAATCAGCAATAACATTAATTGCTGCATTCTGGTCGTCACAGGCATTGATGCTTTCGATGACTTTGTATAGGTTGATATCATCAGCGTACATCAATGTGGATACCTGTAGACTTTACAACCTAACAGGAAGGTCAGCCGTTTAAAGAAGAAAAAGGATAGGGGACAAGACTTCCCCTTGAGGGACTCCGCTGGGGATCTTATACACAGAGGAGAGCTTGCTTTCAACAGTACCTGGGTAGGTGCGATTGCAGATGAAAGCTCCAACCCAGCGAATTATGGGAGGGTAGATCTCAAGGGACTCCAGCCTGATTATAGCATATGGAAAGGTACCCTATCGAAAGCCTTTGCGAAGTCAAAATATATGACGTTCACCTCTTTCTTACGATCAAGGGCTTTCGAGCAATCATTGAGAGAATTAAGCAAAGCTGTTTAAGTTGACTTTCGAGCACAAAAACCATGATAGGCGTGAGGAATAAGACTGTGTCTCTCAAGGTATTCAATTACTCTAAACTTTACGATTATTTCAAATAGCCTCGCAAAAATTGAAGTGATAGATACGGGCCGGTAGTTTACAGGATTGCAAAAAGGAGGTTCTTCTCTAGGCACCGGTACAATAAATGAGGGTTTCCACTTGAATGGCACTTCAGATTGCATGTAGGACAATTTAAAGATAAGCTCTAAAGGAAAAGTAATCCAAGCTGCAACTCTTTCAATGAAATTCAAAGGGATGAAGTCAGGTGTAACCGAGTAACAATTTCGTCACTGAGCCAACAACTCGAAAACCTTCTCTTCATGAAACCACAATGAGGGACCCATAGTAGAATCACAGGAGGGAAGCTCAAGTGAAGAAATGCCATTAACACTTGCCTCAACGGAAGCACAATGAAAATGCTTGGCAAATATTTCTGCCTTTTCTTCATCTTTCCATCAGCAATATTGTTGTCAGATGCCCTTAACGTTGGGATTTTTTTGGAGTTCTCGAGGCGCTTGTTGATGAAGTAAACAGCTCTGACAGCTTGTCGAGTCCTTTGATTCAATGATTTTACGCTCTGAGTATGCGAAATATTTAGTTATACTTTTGCACAACTTTTTATCAAAAAGCTTATACGCATCCCAACTGCAAGGACAATCATCAGCTACTGCGCAAGACCATAAATGACTGCGACGACCTAGCATTCTCTCTATAGAAGGGGGCAGTTTGATGTGTCTACCTTTTGTAGGCCGCAGCGGTACAAACCGATTAATTAAATCTGGAGAACTGTAAGAAAAAGCTCATGTTTCTCATCTACAGTGTCCACAGCAGTCAAACACCCTACCCAATCAAAACTACTCAAGTGCTCTCAATGGCGTCGTAGTTGGCTTTACTAGAATCTCTTACCCACATTTGAATGGAAGTAGCGGGGGCGGCTATGTTCAAAGTGAAATCCGTGGAGGAATGGTCACGGCCACCAATTGGGGAAAGTATGACTATGACTTGAGTGACCAAGTGATCATCATTACAGAAAATGAGATCAAGGTATGATGCACCACGAGTGGATTTCCGACAAACTGCACAAAATTATGTGAAAGAAATACATCCGTAAATTCCTTAGATATAATAGAGAGGTTACTACGACCAGCACAACTCCAATCAATATCGGACAGGTTCAGATCTCCAACAACCAGACAGGGTGTATCGTGACTACTGAAGTCACCTATCAATTTTAATAACAAACTGCTGTGAAGCGCGCTGCATAGAGGAGTACGGTAAATTAAAATCAATTTAAAGTTATACCGACAGACGAAAAAATCAACAACAAGAATTTCATAGGCATCCTTCAAGGAAACCTTGTGTACAACATCATAGTATATGCTGTTTTGAGCCATAATCAAAACACCACCTCCTTTTTTATGAAGTTGGTCATATCGTAACACCGTAACACCGTAACACCTAAAGAATTATAATTTTTGACAAAAGAACGGATATTCGAAAGCAAGCACCTAACGTTCGGATTGGGCCGGCAAAAGGTCAGAGAGCCCTGCGGAGTGGCTTTAAGAGCAGTTTCAGCATCAATTTTACAGCATCTATCTGTCGAATCAACACGTTGGGTTTGATGAGCGTTAGGATTATCAAGATAGACAGAACCTACTTTACGGGCCTCCCGCCTACGCGTTCTTTCCTCCCTTGTTAGGGAGGGCGGATGTAAACCTTCCCATGAGGAAAAAACCGTAGGCGATGGGCCTTCCTGACCGCTTTTCTTTGGAAGCGGGCAGTAGGAAGCACTACTTTGAGAAGTCTATGTTGAGAGCTACCCTTTACACCCATGCGATAGACGAAAGAAGGAAAACACTCAGCGTCTAGATAGTTAAGAAGAGTCGAGACGCATGACGCATTGAAGGTCATGACGAGCATGATCCACGGAACCAGGTAGTTGGCTTTCCGGAACGCCCGCGACCACTGTTGAGCGCTTGAGATCATAACCGACTTCCAATGGCTTCCTATCAGCATCCGGCGGCAGACTAAGACTAGAACGATCCGCTTTTGAATCAATGACTTTGAAAGACGACAGCAATTTCTCAAAATGAGACTTCAAAGAATCATTTTCCTCTTTGAGAACTTTCTTCTCTAGAAGAATAGCATTGCAACGACGACTTAGATCAGAGATTTCCTCTTTAGTCTCTACCAAAACTCCAGTAATAAACTAAACGTATGGGGTGGGAAGACTTTCCTCTTTACCAAGGCAATCCAGTATGCTTAAATAGGCTGATCCATTGCGCGAAGAGCCAACACAATACTTCAAGGCTGAGACAGAATCTGACGTCGGGGATACAGAGCTCATAATCGAAATGATAGCTAGAATAGTTCAGTACTGTACAAGTAAACGTTAGAGTAGACCAGTAGTACTGTCGTTGGGCGATCCTGCACCGAATAATCCAAAAAAGGTAGCACAGTTGAGCAAGCGCGGCGGAGCAAGGAGAGACCCGACCGCTCACCACGATTGATCGAATAGAACTTTAACCAATTGTGTTGTGAATGGAGTTCTCCATCAGCACCTGTAAGCCTGAGCCTGGCAATACTACCGACACCATCTGTTGCCATTTTTGCAGAGCATGGTTTTTTGCCTTGGCAGAGATCGGACTCATGGTTTGTCGGCTATTGTCCAATGCCTTTGCTTCGCCTTTCTTCTCTTGGATCGAGTTCGAACGCTGGTCCTGTTCAAACTGAAGAGCACTTTTTACCATAGTCATGTCCGTCCCCTTTCGTTTGATGTACTCCATATTTCGATTAATTCGGCTCAGTTTCAAATTTTTCCCGACCGTTCTTTATTTCGAACAACGTGTTGAAGACAGAGACAGGGCTCAAAATTTTATGCAATTCAGCATCCTCATGAAATATTTTAGCCAACGACCCAATGATGACTGTTTCAGTTTGAAATCAGTTCTCTAATGGTCGTTCATGCTCAGTAGACCCTGCATGATGAGCTAAGGATCCAGGTGAGATACCTTGCTGAGGAACACTCAAGCAATTTATTATGACTGCATTGATAGTCAATTGGCGTGTAGACTCGATCCTCGCGCTAGTATTACTACCGAACTGTGCACTAACACATAGCAGAGCATCGTCCTTATTTCGGCGAGAGGAGAGATTAAATTGACGGTATTCAAAGTGCAAATATGAACCCTGACTACTCACAGATGTTTTCAACTTTTTCATTGCACAGAAGTTCCTCACTTAGTGTCCTCAACTGCAATAAGCGGAGGTGGTTGGAGATGAAGCTAAGTTGGATGACATTTGCAGCGTTTGCAAGGTTGAGATGATAGTGGAAAGCTTAGAGTTCATGCTGCCAAACTCTGTTCGGATCATCGTCAGCTCCTCGAATGGTAAAACTGGAGATGGAAAAATAACTGAGGAATTGTGTCGAGCCTATCAAAACAGATTAGACGGAACAGCATGAAGGAGTGATTTAATCACCTCGACCAACACCAGTAAATGTAGCTTGCAGTTTCAAGACCTTTGCGAAAGACATAGGAGTTCGGCACTCACTTTCGTAACAGAATATCATATTGTCTTCGATCGGGGCTTCTCCTCAGGACTGCCGCTGCTGTTCCAAGCAAGATGTTAATCTGTCACCACTCAATACGCTAGAGTGGACTAGCGCAGGCTGCAGGCAACTGGCGCTTTTCTCCAGAGCTTGCAATGTACGCAGACAGATATGAATAAGATCAGGTATTATAGTAAAAAGTAGCGGTCCCAAATCAGTTCCCTGCCTGTATCGACAAATTAATAAATAAAAGCGAAATAATCACCGTAAAGGTAATATAAATCAAGGAACATAAGGGAATTCGAGAACTCCTGAAACTAGGATTCAAGAGCTTTGACACCAACAGGACAGGCAGCATTTTAGATGAAGGACACCATGCAAGCATGGAGGTTTCAAAGAAGTTTTACAATCATAAACGCACTATAGAAATGACGTCACAGTACGCTGGTCGCGATGCCCTATGTTCATCGATTGGAGCAACACCCTCTATCCGCCGTCGTCGAATCAAGTTGGCTAATCTTTTCAATTCCGCTTTGCAAATGCGATGCTTCATTGAGACTAGGAAGCTCGACGGCCGAATGCCACACAATCAAGTCTAACAGGTTCTACGGATGACTTCAACCATCAAGCCATTGGGTCGAATGACGGATGTATCCGACAATGTTTTTAGAGAGATCTGTCTGTCGCCGAATCCAATGCACATATTGAAGAAAAACTCCTCGTTCTGATGCTCCTTTCGCGCTCAACATAAAGTGCGACATGGATCGCGCTCAGGCACATGAAGGAAGTGGTGAAGATAAAAGAAGCCGACTTTGTGCCGTCATTTCTAAGACTGGATTCTTTCTGCCGTCTACACTCAATCCTCAGAGAGTTACATTTTGCGTACTCTAGATGTTCATCTGGTTCACGTTCTTCGGGCTGTTGTGAAATAAAAGATTAGGGGAGACGAGCACGACATGCTAAGTGGTGATAACCATTAGATTGAAGTGATTATTTTCACTCTTAGTATATCCTTTTGGGAACAACAAACAACGGGACCAGAGCCCACCGTTTGGTTTCACAGTTTGGTTTCATGACTATCAAATGCTCGATGTCTCGTACGTTTCGAATATGGCCCACTGGGCTACATATAATGACTGCGACAGGGAACGATTAATGGACTCTTCACTACTTATAACATCAAAATTCGAAGCGTTTAAAGTAGAGGTGTTTTCACAGCGTGAACAAAGCCTGAGGATGAGCTTCTCACTGCCATTTTACTTATTACAATTTACGTCCCGTCAAAACGAAATATGGAGCGGTTTTGAAAGAGCGCTGAACCGAACCAAGTAGCGATCAACGAATTCTTTTCAAGTTCCGCTTCGGCAATAATGGAGCAGAAGTTGCTTCTCTTCAAAGTTTGCTCCAGTTGCGATTCCGCACAGAAATGATGTCATCGTACCTGTCAGAAAGTTTGCCTTAGCAACATTATGCGAGCACAAAGCAAATTAGGTCCACTAACATGGAGGAAATCCATTTCGAGTAAACACCGTTGAACGTTGGCAGATACAGCAACTATACTGCACTGGAACTTTTTATGCAACATTTTTCCTGACAGACGGATTCCGATGCTTCTTTTTTGAATCGCAGGTAGTTTATGGGAGGTGTGAAACGATTTTACAAAGCTTCAGCATACACCTTATAAAAATGCAAAACAAATCTATGCAGCCGGGATGCAAACTCTCATGCCACGCCCTCGAGTACATTGCCTTACCTGTTGCGACATCGCTTCACATCTGCCGCAGTAACTCGTTCTCGACACACACAGCAAAAACAGATATCACACGAAGAAATGCCCCGTAACTTTCCTTCAGAATAGTCTCGCAGATTTGGAATGTGAATTAGAGATCAGGGTTAAAAAACACATATATGGGCATACATCTCACTGAATAGCCACTGCGACCTAGTATCAGCCCCTTGTTGAAGTTTCTAAATTTCTACCTCCGTAACTTTGGGACACCTTATACTCAAAGTCACTGCAAGTCCGAATAAAGTCGAATGCGTGGCATTTTCTATCGATGGAGAGCTCATTGAGTGTGCAATTGACACAATTTTCTCAGAACGTCATAGACTAGAATGCACTTGAAGACTGGCAAAGTGTTACTTGAGGAGCTGACTCATTTAATGTCACCACCAGCCCATAATGGAAGCAGAGTACGCAGTGTACTCTATAAGTATGCGATTAGCGATTTTTGTGGACAGGTTTTCCAGTGAGATGACGCAAGCAAACATTTGAACGCCACAACAAGCTGGAAGTGGAGTGGCGTGACGCGCCCTATATGTACAAGAATTTCAATCGTGAAGTTAGACTGATCTGTGTGTAATGCCCTTCCTTGGGACGAGACGGATCATGTAGCAAATCATATCGTTGAGCTTGTGTAGTCTACACGCAGTTTTTATTAGTACTGGAACTACACATACGAACATTTGAGTATCATACCACACATGAATGGAAGAAAAAGCGTATTGTCACCTACAATCGAGCACTGAAGGTTAATACAAATTACAGCCTTCACCTCCCCCTTCTAGAGATCCTTGAAACGGATTCCTGCCAACCTGATCCACTTCTTCTAATCGGAAGTAGTTTGCTATCCTTTTGCTAATTTTCTCAAATCCTGAGAAGCCTCGAAAGCGCTTCACAAAATTTCAGTTACGGTTTCAATTTTAGCTCTGTCCGCGAACGAAGCGAAACGGATGGTAACGATGTGCGCACTTGTGCATCCCTCCGAGTTAATTCTAATGTTTGCCATGGACTTGCCACTTCAGTGCCGCTATCCCCGCTGGGTTCATACCTGCAATAACCTTTTGAATCCCCCTCCTTTGCTCGTTTCTGCCCATGTTTTTCTTGCTAACTTGACGGTCTTTCCTAGCAGAGACTAGTCATTCGGTTTTAGCTCCATGCAAGGAAGCACTTACCTCCTATCATAAACATTTGACCGCTCTCCCGTATCGGGATACATCCACTTCTTCCAAAATATAGTATATTTTTAAACAAGAAAGAAAATTTTCCTATTTCGCATCACTTCGCTTCAAATTGTGTGGTCAGTATCTCCCAATTGAAGTCATACTATCCTACTATATATGACGCGCTAACAAGAAAGGTCTTTCAGGGCGTGGGACGCTTTTTGAAAATGGTTTTTTGCATGGTGTAGGGGCATGAGCACTGAGTATATAACTATGGTCCATTTCCGCTAAATGGCCCTCTGAATGCCAAAAAACGACTGAAAACGATTTTGTCAGAAATCGCCGTTTTAACCTACTCAGCGTCGTTTGTTTCATTCATGGCGTCGACTGTCCGTACAGCAGAAGGCGTCAGTTGACTGCGCATCGAAAATAACGTGAAAGGTAGCCAAAAAAGGGGGCCACATGTTGAAAAGTGCGGGGAAGTTTCATATAGGCTCTCCACGGTTGAGTTGCCAGAGGCGACGGATGGTGTGGTGGATAGCGATGTGGACTTCGAGGACGGACGACTAGGATCGGTTGATGGTTCAGATTTCTGAGGCTTTGCCGTTTTTGCATTTTATGCTGCCACTTCCAGATTGGCTCCATATTGCATCTGGGTCAAAGCAAGTGTCTGACTGGTCATGGTCGTGACCAGGACCAGTCAGGCACATAACCTCTACAAGTTATTAGAATTTGTTGTGTGGAGCACTATCAATGGAGGAGCTTCCATGCTTCATGCTCCCAGGAGTATGAAGGTGCTTCTTAATTTCACACTATATAAGTGTTATAATGGGGGTCCAAACCCTATAATATGGTGCGTATTCGATGGAAGCTGTTCTCAACGCAAAGACAACAGGATTCCCGATTCCGACCTTACTCTGGTCGTCCACCGCGGACTCCTGTGGGAAAACGAATCAGACTCACTTTCATCTCGCCTTCTTGCTGAAGCAACAATGAGCATTAGGCTTGATATAAAAAGCTGTCAGCCCTGAAGGAAATCATTCTAGCGCCGGATTGCTAGATTAGTGACTAGAGGGTTTGGGCGATACCCGTTCCCAACCTACGATCCCCTAACTCCGCGCCCTGCTATGAAGGGCTGATAGGACATGATTAAGAAGGACATTGCTGAAGTCGAGGTGAGTGCAGAAGATGAGTGACTGATTGTGAGGAGAGAAGGAAATGGAGATGACCAACAGAAGTGAACAAAAACCCTTCAACGGCGCGAGATCAACGCTAGGGTAAAAAACGGTGAAGTCATCAAAATTGGATGAGCCTTCCATCAGTTTTGAAGGAATTCGGTCGAAATAAAACAACAATTAAACCATTACTGTCCAAATCATTCAAAGAATTGTAGGGACTGTGCAATGTCCATACAATGTCCAAAGACCAGATGATATGAATTTTTCGAGTACTAAAATGACATCATACCATTTTACCAACATTTTTCCAACTGAATGAACTCTTGATGTGGGACAAACTGATGAAAAAACGTGAGGAAGTGGGG